ATGCATAAATAAGGAGGCAAGCTTCATTTTTCTGTATTGTCTATAGCTACATGTATTTTAATCTTTGAAGAAAGAGAAAAAGAAAAGGAACAATTTCACACCTGCAGATAACACAAATGTATCATGTTTGAACTTCTGCTGCCTTTTGTTACTTTTAATTAGTATATCTTAAGAGATCTGCTTCCAGGGATGCTTTAGTAATAATTATATAACATCTGAGAGGCTTCAGGGAAGGATCATATTGGCTTTCCTTTCTTAGGAGCAGAGCTTGAAGTTGCTGTCCTTACTTTCAAAGCACTAGCTGTGTCATCCTCATATATCTTTTCCTTTATTTCTTCCTCCTGCTTCTGACTTTGAGCCATCTTTCACAATGCCATAAATGCTTTAAGCAACCTCATAATAAAACCTTTTCCTATTTTGTATTTATTTTACATGGATATGTACATGGATGTACATGGCTACAAAATTAAAATATGTATATTATCACTGTGTATGTCTTACAAGTCTTATAATGAAATAGAGGTATTGTCCCCCACCTACTCTATAACCCATTGCAATGCAACACAGAGTTTACAGTTCCATTTCACTCTTCAGCCAGTTAGTGCAGGATTTTTCTCTGAATCTGAATAAGAAAGGCCTGAAAACAACTTAATAAATTTAATAATTTAAAAAGACAAAGTAAAGACCAACAGAGATAGTTGCCATGATGCCCACATTCCTGCAGCATTGGATTAATCCTGGATGGACTTCTCCTTTGGCAGGCTGCTATCCCGTCTCTGGAGAAAGGCTCCTTTTTGGCTGCAGTAGTTTAGTTTTCTTACATGAAAACAGCTATTCCATAAAGGACGTTCACAGGGGAGCTTTACTCCTTGTGTGCTTCTGGTAAGAGCACTAACTGCCTGCACTCTGTGCCGAGGAACTTCCAAGGGTTTTGTGCACCACAGCCCAGGCCCAGAGGCAGCACAGCACAGACCTGGGCCTGTTCCACTTAACTGTACCATGAATCACCGACTCCTAGATGTACAGGGCTCTTCTGGCCAGGATCACTACACTTCTCCTGCTTCCATCATCTTCAAAGAGTGTCTATTTTTCACCCATGTTTTACCTCCTTGCACATCCCAGATAATGTCCTAGTGCATTTTGGACTTTGAAGTGTGGAAATGAGAAAGAGAGGGTTGCTGATATCGAGGGTTTGTTCTCTTTTGCTTTGGTTTGGTTTGGTTTTGATGTCATTCCTTTTTCAGATAACCTGCTGAAATTAGTGATTCAGAAAGCATGAAACATGGCCCATCTTAGGGCTGAACACACTGGCAAACAGCCTTGCACAGAACTCACTGAACTGTTTTATCTGTGGTTTTCATAGTATAGAATTTTTTATATCCTCTCTGTAATGGGACAACCTTTATTGCACTGACACTTTGTGTTCTTCCTCTTCAGACTAGAGAATACAAATTTGAGATATATGACTGGGGAACAGAGTGCACAGAGAGAAATGAGAACTGGAAATAGTAAACTATACATGATGGGTTGTATGTTTGTTTTCACACAGTAACATGTTAAATGACTGTGTTTGTTAGCTCACCAGCAGTCCTAAAAACTTGTTCCTTAGCAGCTTTCTTACAGCCCTGGTGCACTTCTTGAGGAAACTGCTCCCCAACTCTGAAAAGCAGTGCAGCACGCACAGGTCCTTGCTGTATTTCCATACAGATTTTATTCACTAGGCTGGCAAAACACATACACAGGAGAATGAATTAATGTGCTGACACTCTCAGATGGGATTCTTGTGGATCTCTCTGGATTACCATGAGCAACTGCCAGTGAGTGATCAAAGCAAATGTTTATATTGTTCTGAACTGCCTGCAATAGGAATTCTTGCAAATGCTAATCTGTTGCTGAAGTTTCTTTCATACTTTGCAGGCAATAACCATGTAATGCAGTAAATTTGTGGATGGTGTGAGTTGGATTGCCTCCTGAGCTGAGAAATGCCTTTTGCTGCTCAAAGCAGCACTGAAGCAAGCTCAGGTAGTTTCTTGAGGTATCTTGTAGCAGGGGAAAAAATCCTGTAATAGAGAAAAGTTTATTTTTGACAGGCCTGTTTTTATCTGAATGCAGGTATGGCAGGAGAAAATGTGAGAATTCACTGCTGGTCCTCTTCTCTCAGGAGGCTCCTAAAACCTGCTAGTAGTTACTTCATAGAAAAGCTTCTGGATTTCTGTAGCCCTACAGAAGGCAATTGTACCCTGCTGTAGCCAGCACACAACTGGGTTGTGGCTAAATGAGAAGAAACATTTCTAACCAAGGTATTAAATCACCTGTATATATGCTTCTCCTTAGTCTTACCAGACATGTAGTTTTAGAACAAGAACTAGGCTTGTTTAATGCACTTTCTTGTGACTGAACCAGTTTGGTTTGGTTTTAGTTCCAAGATGATTAATCAGCTGCATGTGGAGAGTTTATATCTATGAACTTTACAGCTAATTTATGTCAGTGTAGACCACAGTCTAGCAAAATGCATCACTCTGGAACTGAAATCAGCTGAACTACTTTGTCCTCAAATGGATAAATGCTCATTATTGGATGGCCCAATTAAGATTTTTATTACAGAATGTGATTTCTATTGAATGTAGAGTGGAATTGGAGCATTAGAGAAAACTTAGTGGTTTTTTAGTGTTGGTAAGTAACTATAGCAAAATGCTCTCCTTGAGCTATTCTTAAGACACTACTGGAATAGTCTCAGTGGAAGAAAATCCTGCCCAAAATCAGGGTCCAGAACTGAGGGGATTAATCATTATTACATGACATGACTTATTTCTTCTCAATCTTCCTTTTTCTATTGTAAAAGAGGAGTTGAAAATGCATCATGTTGCTTGAACTGTTGTATGCAAAATAAAGCAGGGTTATGGATATTTTACTCAAACTTTAATTCTTCTGTATTTCTTAGTTCTGTGTTTTTCACTTATTTGTGATTCACTCCTGATTGAATGAATATTATTTGTATCTCATTTAAGCTTTCCATGCTCTAGTATTAGATTCCATTTGCAGAATGAAATGAGTAATTACCCAGTGCCCTGACAAGACAGAATAAAGAATTTGAATTCAAGGTAGCAATTTGGGCTGCTCCCTCACCTCAGGGTTTTCATTGGCTTGATTTGATTTGAGCTTGAAATGTATTTCTTTCCTATCTGTGGTTCACAAAGCAGTCTTTGTGAACTGATGGACCAAGATAAGGCTTTGTAACCATTTTAAATATCAAAATTAATGCATTGCTGTGAAGAGTATCATTTTGGGAGATGCCTCACCATAAAGAACAGTGAGGTTCAGTTATATTCTTTTAGAATACCCCAAATAGTTTAGAAAATTCCACTGTGCTATTATTCTTTGTTTGAAAGCTGTGGATATGTATTTCATATCTGCTTTAGTAGAATGTTTCAGACAGACAAAGACAGTAACTATCTGGTAAATACTCCTGTACACCATATCTGTTCAGCTACTCTGTTATTAATTTAGTATCTCTAAACATGCTGGAGATTCATTAGCCACATTTATCTCCATTTCTATTTACTAAGAATTGTCACAAATATAAATGACAGTGAAAGGGAATTAGCGAGTCCTCTGAAATGTGTCAGAGATGTCTACAGTCCATACAGTTTTTGTGATTTATTCTCTGTGCCTCCTTATCTGCCCAACAGCAGATTGCTGAAGTCTTTCATTTCAATGCTTTTAAATGACTTAGAGACAACAATCATAAAAAATGACAATAACATTTTGGAGTTATTTAATAAGAAAAAATGTGTACAGTAATGTAAAGTCACTCGTTCAGCTAAGTCAAAACTAGCAACTTATAAAGCACAAGCATCATACAGAGATTGTTGTCAGAAAGTTTAAGTCTTGTCATAGTTCTCTATTTAGATTTATAAGGCAATTTACTATTAGGATGAACAGATGGAGCACCATCTTTTCTAGGTCCTTATGGATTAAAGCTTTCAGTTATGCTTTGGTCAGAAGGCAATTGATTAAACAGTAAGCTCACTGTCTGTCTATGTTTCTTTATCTCTTTTAAAATTAACTGGAAAAATGTGACTTTGTCTGATAAAATATGCATTTCTGTCAGTTCTGAGACTGGGTATATTTTTTATTATCTTTTCAAAAATAAATAAACCAACTCTGTTTGTGACACTGAAGACAAAGATGGTCTTGGATTCACAATAACTCTGAAATAATTTCTGCAGAACTGCTGTGCAATCAGTAGTTCTCCATCCAGAATGTATGTAGTTGATAATACAGTGCTAGTTTTGTCCATACTCCGTAGCACCCTGGGTTGTTTGGAGTTTTTTTGTTGGTTTTTTTTTTTCTTTCCCTTTTCTGTAAGTTGTTATTTTGTTTTAGTTTTTGTTTTGTCTGTTTCGCCTGATTGTCACAATTATTCTGAACCCTAATCCTGTTCTCCAGAATGGGTACAAATTCTGTATGCTTTCGAGAAAGGCAAAGCAACGTTTACCTTGAATTCTTCCCAACTCTGTCAGTATAAAATCACACCGGAAAAAACCCTTAAATTACAAAAACTGCGAAAACGGTGAAACCCATGCTTTGCATGAAAGGAGACCTTTACTGATCAGTGCCGTCTCTAAAAGAGATGCCTTAAACTTCCCGAGGTTAAATAGAAGAAATGGATTTCTAGAACTGTATTGAAAACTTCCTGAAACACCTGTTACTCTTTTAAATATTTTTTAAAGGAAGTTTTGTAGTTATGTCAATCGTTGCATCCAGAGCGCCATAAACGCAAGGTGAAAACGGCCGCATCAGTAAAATCCTCAGTGAAACAGAACTGCTTACACACTTTTGTTTACAACCAGGATGCAGGGAATACGGGAAAAGCACCCGAGACGGACACAGGTTGTGCGGCAGTGCGAGGCAGGAGCGCTCCCTCTGTCCTCACGGCGGAAGGAAGGGCCCGCAGCGTCACCGCCACGGCTGCGCACAGCGCCGGGCTGCCCCTCGGCTTTTCCCTGCTTCTCTTTCCCTTCCTCCTGCTCCTTCCCTTCCTCCTCCTCCTCCCCTCGGGTCCGATGGCGGCGGGTGACACGGAAAGGGCCCAGCAGCAGGTGAGCGGCGGAGGGGCCCGCGGGGAAAGCGGTGACTTCAGGGCGCTCCTGGTGAGCCCCGGCCCCGGAGCGGCGCCGTGCCCGCCGTGGCGCGCCTGCACCGCCGCGCTTCCCGTGTTTCATTTCTAGGTGGAAGACACTTCCCCGGTTATTCTTTATGGGAATTTGCTGAGTATCCGCTCCTTCTCAGGACGAGCTTGGTGCCAAACCCTCGGGGTCTTACCCCTGCCGGGGTCCGACCCAGCCAGCCGGGTGCAGCACCCGATTGGGAGCTGCAGGGAGCGTGTTGGCATCTCCTTCCTGTCACTGTGCTCGCCTTGTCACTACTGAGATGACAGGATTATCTAGAGAAATTAAAAAGCTGTTGTGTGTATGTGAGAACTGAGCAAAGGTTACTTACAAAATCACAGGGTCAGTTAGGTTGGAAAATACTTCTGAGATCATCGACTCCAACCTGTGACCAAACACCACCGAGCCAACTAGACTGGGGCACTGAGTGCCACATCCAGTCTTTCCTTAAACACCTCCGGGCACAGTGACTCCGCCACCTCCCTGGGCAGCCCACTCTAATGTCTAATCACCCCTTCTGTGAAGAAGTTCTTCCTAATGTCCAACTTAAATCTCCCCTGGCGCGCCTGAACTCCTGTGAATCAGGATTGGATCCCCAATAGCCTTCTAGTGCAGTGAATCTTGTCACATCTGTCAATGAGTTGTAGAAGACGACTTTAAAAAGATGAAAATAATATCATTGACACAAAAAGTTGTGTGGGTTTTATGGGGGGGCATTTACTTTTGCTTTTTTTCTTTTTTTTAGATTGATGAAATTGAAGCCCTTTCATCGATCTATGGTGATGATTGGTGTGTTGTTGATGAAGATGAAAAAATCTATTGCATTAAAATTAGTGACTGTCTGGATCAACCAAAATGGACCCTCTGTTTGCAGGTATAGTGGTGGTAAAAAGTTTAGCATGAATTTTGCAGTTAGACTGATGCAGGTGAAACCTTTTAAATATGGTTTATTATCTCCTCAGATAATTAAGAAGCTTTTGGAGTCTGTGATAAGACTTTTCAGTGATTCTTCCTGTAATGCATTGGTTTGCTTGTGATATATTCAGTAATTTTATATCCTGATTCCACACCTAACCAAAGCATTTAAGTGTATTTCACCAAAGACTAATTTCTGAAATACTTTTACACTGAGGACTTTGTGCCTCAGTGAATCTACTGCAGTTGCATCTAGATTTGCTTTCTGGAAAGGGTTGAGACAAAAGCAAATTTGGATCAACTTAATTGATTCAACTCCTTACTTTTATGTTTTCAGAGCTGAAAGCAGTAAGTTTACTTGGTGTAAGAAATATGGAAGTGTCTACTTAGGGAAATGTGGTACCACTTTTTTAAGTCCAGTAACCACGTGTGCAGCTTCTTTCAGTTTTTTTCTGTACTTTATTTTGCATCCTTATAAATTGCCCCATAAAACATAATTGTATGCATTACCATTATTGGAGTTTTAAATGCAGATATTCAGCATTTCTTGCAATTCTATAGCAACATACCCAACTGCTTTCTTCATTTGTAACACTAATTGTAGTCCTGGTGCCTGACATCAGAGTCCTTCAGTAAAACTCATCTAGGTGAGGGTAGTCCAATGAATACATATCCTGAATTTCTTTCAGGTGATTTTGCCACCAGGATATCCAACTGCAGAGCCACCTATTTATCAACTAAAGTAGGTGATGTTTTCTTGCAAACATTTGTGTTTGATGAATTGCTGCTGTTAATTGTTTACCTGTAAGTGGAAGTTTAGTTAAAATACTCATTGAATTGAAGTATACCAGTGATTGGGGATGTTTCCAGCAAGGATATTCTATTATTTATCCTGCTTTTTCCAAGATGTTTGCAGCTGGAATCTTGATGGTTGGCAAAATTTTATTTTCAAGGTGTTCATCACATTTATTTGGGAATATTGGAAGCAGCATGTAGCACAATTTTAATTGCATTTCTTTTCATTCTAGTGCCCCTTGGCTTCGAGGACAAGATTATACAGAACTAGCAAATAGCTTGGAAGAAATATATGTGTAAGTTTGAGACTGTGGAATATAGTAAAAGGAGACAATGTATTTTCAGTTTCTATCTGTTCTTCACTTGAATGTTAAAACACAGGATGTGAAAACATTTGGTTGTCATAAGAGCATAAGTGGCATACCAGTTTTTCTTAAAAGCTAAGGGATACATAAGTTTTAAAATAAAGACGTGGAGATTCTTTTAACTGGAATCTGGAACATTGTGGACTGTTTATTATCACAGAGTACAGCTAACTAATACAGGGCATAATGGATGCATGCGAATAAATGGCTAAGTTTAGAAATACTCAAGTTACATGATTTTGAATTGCTGTGAAAGTGGGGTAGAAAATGTAGTAATTTTATATGGTTAATTAATTTCTTTTGATCCCAGAGATTATATAAAATAAAAGAAATTAAAATGTAACGAAGCACAGTCATGCCCCGGACAGTGAAATCTGAGCATCTTGCATAAGAAATGTTTTTTTTAATGCCATAAGGAAGAGACCACTTAGTTTGCATAAGGGTTTTTTACTTTTATTAACTGGGTTTCTTAGCTAATTGAGCAACAGATCATTTAAGAAGTAAAATTTAATTTGAAGTGTTAAAAATATGCAAGGATTTTAAATGAAAAGTTCTGTGTGATCATATTCACCACAATTGTTCAGTGGATCAAAAAGGGCAGAGGTTGTCCTTAATTCTGACCAGATTCAAAGGATTTGGTGGAGTCTCTACCACAGGTAGAGCTGCTGGTTCCTTTTTTGCTCCCCTGCCCCGTGCAGTCCTGTAGGCTGTCAAATTGTGCTGGTTCAGCTCCCTTCTCTCTATATCAGCTGCTGGTCAGAGTCCTCGCTGGTCTGCTCTCACTTCTGTTTGTTCAGCAGGAAGTGAAATTGTTTGTACTTTAGGCCATATATGTACTTTAGATCATTTTAAACAGTTTAAAAACCTGGACTGATCACTGGTGTGCACAGTATTTGTGAAAACCTTTTATCTATTCAATGTCTAAATGATTGTCAGACGAACAGAGATATTCTGCATTAGTTTACATTGTGTTTGACCAGGTTTCTAGTCCCTAGGGATCTAAGTTGTGTAGTTCTGCAGTCCAAACCAACATGAACTACACTGTCAATTGCTATGGAAAAAATAGATATTTATAGATCACAAGTCTGTTTTGGGAGACACAAAGTAATTTACAACTATTCAGAAACTGTAATTGGGTGATAGTTGGACAAATTGCTGTTTAGTTTTGTAAAACAGGGAAATTTTATTCTTCTTCTAGTCTCTCTCCATCACTAAAAAAATGTCTTCAGATGTTAAAGCAGTGCTTCTATACAATAAGCTTGTGAAATTAGAGTGTTGAATTGTTCTGGGGTCTGTCTGGAGTTCAAAGTGAGAGCTATAAGTTCATAAAATCGTTATTTTTGCTTGAATATTTTTTCTTAAAATAAGTATGCTTATTTGAATTTGATTGTTTCCAGCAGTAGTGCTGTATACATTAAGCAGAGTTTAAATACATGATTTTGTTACTTAGCTGGTGCCCAGATGGTGGCAGTAAGAGTAAAATTAGTGAGAAACCATGAGATATCTATGGCCCTAAATCTTTAGTTTTGTTTCTTAGACAAACATGCATAGTTCATAACCATTTTAACCATTTGAAATGTATTTTGAGTTGTTTGGGTTGTGCTGCACATAAAGGAAGCATTTATTAAATCCTAACATGCGTGTATTCATCACATTCTCCCTCAGTACCTCAATACACACCTGTGCCCCCGAGTGAAGCCTCCTAGGCCTAAATCTTTATCTCCCTGTCCTATAGCACTGCCTAATACCCAGACTGTAGTGTTTCATTCCAATGCTCCACTGACCTGCTGTCACAGTCCACTGATGAGTTTTTCGCCCAGTGAGCTACTGAGACAGCACTTGACACAAGCCTGCCTGAGCTCTTTATCTCATTAGCTTATGTTCAATTTCTGTGTCTGAAATCTGTGTGTTATTTTGTGTACTTTCCAAGTGAAATTAGCAAAAGTGATTCTTCATTTGCCATGACTTTTTACTTGCAGACAGAACCTAGCTTATGTTCAATTTCTGTGTCTAAAATGTGTGTTATTTTATGTACTTTCCAAGTGAAATTAGCAAAATTGATTCTTCATTTGCCATGACTTTTTACTTGCAGACAGAACCTTGGTGAAAGTATACTGTATTTGTGGGTGGAGAAGATACGAGAAGTTCTGGTGGAAAAGGCACAGTCTTCAGATCCAGGTACTCCAGAAAATACATGGGGTTTTTATTTCCCTGCTTCTTCCACTGCAAAGTAAGTTTTCAGTACAAGTTAGTTTAGGCCCACTTTTGAATTGGATCTAAATATCAGAGAACAGTCTCTGTGTCAGGGCTTACTGTTTTACAGTGGCGGTGTCCCTTTTTAAAAAGCAGCAGGGAAAAGAAGGTGGGGGTGGGCCTCTGAACTGGAACAAGGTCTGCAGTTCTCTCAGGAATGAAATTTGCTTGAGAGGACAGTGCAGCCCACAGGTACATTATGTCTTGCCCTCCATTCTGCAAAGCATTCATACCAGTAATTAATTTCTGGTGTTGAGTGCACTGTTGGAGGATTGGGATTCAAGAGAAGATAACTTCAGTGGACTATGCAGACAAATGACCAAGTATTCCATCATTTTACTTTTCTGTCCTTCCATTGATTTTACTGTATTGGGATGAGAAGTACATAATCAGTAGAGCTGCAGTGATTCTTCTGCTGTTATTCTTACAGAATTTGTGTAAATTCACCGTTGTTGTTTCAAAAACTGTTGGGGGGTTTTGTGCATCAAAATGCTAAACTGCTGTGAAATGTGTGAGTGACATGTGCATGCACAGTGGCAAAAGGAAACAGAATTACTTTTCTCTGTCAGGATGTTACCTTTGTCCTGTGAGAAATAAAATTCTGAAGAAAAAAAAGTTCATTTTCAGTGTGGTTTCATGGTGAGGTCTAGTGTTACTCTTTCAATAAACTGTGCATTTTGTTGCTACATCAGACATTGGAGAAGTCATTCTTCACTGATGTGGCTAAAAGAGTGGACAGTGAGAAGTGAAAATTTTACTGACAATATTGGAAGTTTGGGTATTTTGGCCACAACCTTACGGCTTCCATTTTTGAACATGCTTTATCACCCCTCTGGTTTTTTTTATGGAAAATATATACATTATGAAACCTGCGCCATAAGCACATCATAGCCCTCTAAATAGGAATGCAACTGTGATATATTAATTTGGCTCTAAATCCAGATGTCAGAACCCTGTATATTTCCTCCTTTGTTATTGACTATTATTTTTTGGACATTCTATGCATGAAGAAAATTTTTGGATTTTTGGAATCCCGGAGTGCTTGAAGCATGTTGAGAGAGAAGTTTCAAATCTAATAATTTTTTTGGTAATAATTTTATACCCTCATGAAGTGGCACTGAGCAACAGCTCTACATTTTCCCCCAAATGACCAGTAAATGCCTGGAGTTTTTGTGAACCATCAACTTAATTTGATCCCTAAATTCAGATAAAACTTAGCATTTTGAATGTTTAATGGAAATAGTAAACATTGTTATTTTTTTTCTTAGAAATACTGTTACTTAGTATTGAAACAGAAGGTCTTGTGGAAGGATCCCATAGTATGAGTATTTTATTTTTAATTCTCAGGAATTTTTAACTTAATACTGGGCTGAGTACTTTAGAGTTTTGTTGTAATTAATGTTACTATTCTGCATTTAATAGTTTTTAATGTCAAACTGTTTTGAACTGAGAAGACAGAGACTTCTGAGAAAAAAGAGTTTGAAATTCTGTTTTGCTTGTCTTGCAAAAAATGTGTAATAAATTCTACTACTTGTATCTTAATAGAACCAGATATTAAGAAAACCACTGAAGAAGTTGATGAAGATGATGGAGATGATTTTCTCCTAGACTATCAGCCCACTCAGGAAGATCAAACTAAAATGTTAAGTTATACGACATCTGAAAGTCAGGAAGGTAAAAAATATGCACTTGTTAATTCTGTTGAAGTAATTTAAATGAGACCTGAAGATTCTGGTTTTCTACTCAGCTTTAGAATAAAATTAGTGACTTACAATAGAATAAGTGACTTACTTTAGAATAAAATTAGTGAATTACAATAACATTTAATAACAGTCATTAAAAGATGCAATATATTTTTGATGGGTTTGTACATTGTTTTCTGTACTTCACTTTAATAAGTGCCTTTTCTTAAAGTTGAGACATTCTTTACTTTTGTAGCCCCATGCATTGTTTCTGTCCTCTTAAAAGAAAAGAAACACTCCCTTGTTTGTGACCCATAGATGAAGAACTGCCCCCCATACATCATGGAAACCCAATCACAGATCGAAGGAGCACTTTCCAGGCACATTTGGCTCCAGTGGTGACAACCAGACAAGTTAGTAGAGATCAGTTCTTCTCTTTTTGCCTGTGCTTTTGCTTTGAGCTTGACAAAGTATTACTGGAATATTTGGGATTTGCCAGATATGTTGGTCTGTCTGTGCATCTTTCTGTGCTAGTACTGTCTGACTAGTCATTGGTTTCTCGCTTTCACTGTCAGCTGAATAGTGAAGTAGCAGCTCTTCTTCCTGCTATTCTTTACCACTATGTGCATTAGGTGGAAGAGAGTAAGAACCCTGAAATGTGACTTCTGGATGTTGGCACGTTTATCATAAGATGTTCGGAAGTTACCGAGTCTGTCGTGTGTTGGCTGGAAAAGCTAACACATAAATTGTGTTTATATATGTTCTTCCTCCTTCAGAAAGGAATTCTGTTGAAAAACTCACTTGGATCATGCACAAGTAAATCTTTATTATGACCTAATTGAGAGGGGTTTGGAGCTTCCTTCTCTTGTACATCACTTTCCATCTGTTACCATCAGCCTCCTTTGATCATCCCTTTTTAGAGGGGAAACTACTGTTCTTTTCTTTTATTAACTCTGAGTTAAACCTTGAAAGGATTTTTCTCTTTCTTGTAATGCAATTTTAAGGTTTTATTAAAGAATTTTTGGTAAGGGACATTGTCAACTGCTTGAAGTTCCATGTAAGCTAGGTCAACTACATACTCAGTGGCTATGAAAAAACACTGCCAGGTTGACAGTGTTTTTAGGCTGATTTCTCTATACAAAACCTGTAATGTTTGAAGCCATCTGTGTTTTGTTTTGTTTTTTCTTCCCCCTCAATTATTTGCCTAATATGGACATAAGAATTGGTCTCTAAATCCCAGCATCCCTTCTGGAGCATTTTGACCTTCCAAGTTAACATACACTGTACATTCATGTGGAGTTTTGTGTGTGTAGGAACAATCTTACTCACAAATCATGATAAAAGGGTGAGAGTATTTTAAAATGAAAAAGATGCATTAAGCCAATGATTTCCATTTCTTCCCTTTCTAAAGTAACAGAGTTCATTTATTATATATATGTCTTAAAAATATATATCACTTGAAGAAGATACATCTGTAGCGCAAAAATTAATCTTTATGTTTTCAGGAACCAGGTAGCTGGGAAATAAGTAATGTCAAAGGTGATGGTCATTTCATATGAACTGTCCTTTAAGTCTCTGTATTGAAACTTACTGTTTTAACATACAGTCCATATTTATGAAAGTCTATTAAGTAATAAGAATTGTCTTCCTTCAGTGTTCAAAGTAAGGAGAAGATAGATGTTTGAAGCAATATTCTCTGCTAATAACAGGACTTTTTAAAATTGAGATATCTTTTATTTGAGGTGATTTTTGTCAGTTGAATTTCTTCAAGAAGAATTGGAAATAGCACAGTATAGCTAGGGCAGATATTAAATATGTCTGTTGATTACTCTTCTGAGACATTTGTTTTTGTGTGGAAGACAATTTACTTGCCAGGCATGTTTTCCCAAGCTTTCTCAACTTCAGTAATGTTTTGTATTATGCACTAAAATGATGTCTTAATCAAAAGCTCTTCTTTTTGCTAGACCATTGGAAAGCATTGAACAATTGCCAGCTTGTTTACTTAGAAACATATGACAAACTGCTATTGGTAAATGTTTTCAATTTAATACTTCTTAACAGCAAAGAGATCATCCACATGATGGGAATATCTGTTTTCTGGGAAATACTGACACTTTCAGACCCCTAATGGGATGTTTTTGTTTTTACTTTTCTTTCTTTGAAGTGGAAACTGAAAAAAAAAAGCATGTTTGAGGGAAAAGGAAGAACTTGAACTGTAGTAGGGCTTTCTAAACATCATATTTTTGTGAAATAAGTAAAAGCAGTGTGTAGTGGGAATATGTATATTGTGTTCTATTCCAGCTTAACTTTATTGTTAAAAAAATAAGCAGGTGCAATTGATACTTAATACTGACTAAAGATATTTTCTAGATCTTACTGTCTCTTGTTTAATAAAACAATTTGACACTTCTACATCTTGAGCAATAATATGAATGTACACAATGTAGAAATTCAAGGGACAAGCTGTTTTCAGTATCCCAGGAAAACAGTTTAAAACAATACTGAGAAGCTGCTTCTTGAGTCATCACACCAAACATTTTATGTCAAAGCATAAAATTGTTTCATTGTAGTATTAGGGAGATTTGTTTAGTAGTAATATTGAGAGGGATGTATGAAACCCCTGTTATAAAACAAGGTTTTTTCTGTTGTTTTTTGTAGGTTAAAAGAGTTCTTGAAAAATTATATGAGAACAAGAAAATTGCAAGTGCTACCCACAACATATATGCTTACAGGTGAGATACAAATAATGATTTTTATTTATCTTTTTAGTGTTCTTTCACAAATGAGTGCAGGACATGAGAAAGAAGTTCCTTCCTATTAAATTTCTTGCTATTAAAAGAAATTCCTTGCTTTAGGGAGTAGGTTTCTTATTTGTATGGCTGGTGTTGCAGGTGTTATTTAGAATTTGAGGTCAAGAACATAGAACATACAGTAGGAAATAAGACAGTGAAGCAGCATTAAGAATAGGAAAAAAAGTGGATTTGACCATGTGTTGGTATACTTTTGTAGTATGTCTGAGCATGGAAATGCTACATCATCCTGAATGTGTTTTTATTTGGGTGAAGTAACTTCTTTTTCCCCCCAACCTTGTATTTAGAAATAGCTGAAAATGTTCAGTTGAAATAAGAGTCGAATCAGAAAGCCTGATGCAGACATCTGGCATATGAAGTTTCAGCTGAAATACGAGAAACTTCAGGGATTATGAGAAACAGGTAAAAATGAGTTTGGCAGTCACTTGCCCCTGGCAACTTTTGTGAACATAGATTATGTGAAATGAATTGGTCTCAGTCCAGACAGCAGTGTAGGTTTTCTGAGGAATGTAAGTGACAAAAAAAGGGAGGAACTGTAGGAACCAGTCATCTAAAAAAGCATGCACAGGTGCTTATCCATTCATGCCCATCCTGATGTGATCCTAATGAAACATGAAATGAAAGCAAGTGAAAGCTTATTTTAACAAAAAGTACAAGATTCTACCTAAATAAAAAGTTTCTGTAAAGAGGGCATTTCTGTTCTCACAGATGATGATCAGGCTTCCTTCACTCAGATTATCCCAATGAAAAAAAAAAAAAAAAGGAACTGGCACATACTGCTTCCTCTTTTTCATCTAGTACTAGGAGCCTCTTTCTCATTATGTCATCTGTAACTAAGTTCAGAAGTTGGGAAATACGTTGGTAACAAACCAAATTATTGGTCAGTAGACCTCTGAGCATGACTTGTAGAAAATTAGGCCTAAGCAGCTGTGTTTTTTATGAAAAAATACACCCAAAATTTTACTGCAGTGCCCCCTGAAGAAGGAGATGACATGGAGAATCCAAGGGCAAATTTCAGTAATAGTTTCATGTTGCTGCTGAAATACAGACATAATTAATTACTAATTATATTTTTGTCCAAGTTCTTCTAGGTTTATACCGTTATTTGAATCTGTACCTGGTAGAGTTGGTTTCAGCTAGATGCAATTATTAGGCTAAAAACCTGGGTATTTTTCTGTTTAGGGACTTTAAACTGGTAATGGCTGGAGTTTACCTGAAGTAGCTAAAGTCTGTGTAAAAGCTTCTCAAAACTTGTACTGTATAGATAAACGTTTGTGGTTTACCCTGTGCCTCATCCTGTTTTCATGTAAATATGTGTAATTGAGAGTTAGAGTTGATGCACACATGTATGAAAGATACGAGACTTTATTAATAGTGTAAAAATATTTGTTGATTAACATTTTAAAATCTATTTTATGTTTTTTTTTTTCTCTTGTAGAATATACTGTGAAGATAAGCAGACGTTCCTACAGGATTGTGAAGATGATGGAGAGACAGCAGCAGGTGGACGTCTTCTCCATCTTATGCAGGTTGTAGAAATTAATCTTTGGCTTTTGGAAGTCTTGAATTTATATTGATTTTAAAAATCACTATGATGTAAATGAGCTTGTAGGAGATTATTTTGATTTTTGCTCTGCTAGCAGCCAGCCAGATGATTGCTTTCTCAAAGTGAAAGGAGAAACACAAACTTTCAAGTCTCAGACCATAGAAACAAGTGATGTTTCATAGGTGGCAGTAATAGTTTGAATGGGTTGAAAGATAACTAAGTTTTAAATGCTGTGCTTCCTGTGTGGTGTAAGGTACACAGAAGATAAATACTGGGAGAAGCTGACTGTCACAATAAAACAGCTGACCTGTGCACAACCTGTCATGTGGTTCCCTTGAGTAGGCGTAATAAAAACACACCAATATATGAACTTGCAGAGTAGAACTTCAAATACAAAAGGGCTGAAGGAGCTAAGTTGTTTTGATAATTTAGTCTGTTTTGTTGTGCTGTTTCCTGTTCTGGGTCCATAGCACTCATACTCACATATATTTTAGTCTTCAAGTATTGAAATAAGTAGCAAAGGTGCTACTAAATGTGAGTGAGCTGAGATTGATAAATTTTGATTCATGATGCAAGCCCTAGTAAAACTGTAGTTAAAGTAGCACAACTGCAGGAGACATCTGTGTGCATCTTAATGCTGTGCCTCAAGTCACTTAGCTGTGTGAGCAGACAAAATATTTATTTTTATTTTAGATTGATGTTCCCTTCACAGCAGGAGTTTATTGTCCTGTCCTTTTCTTGCTTGAATATTCTTTTGCTTAATATGTTGCACTCTTATTCCTGGAAACTTTTCTTCCCCCACCCATGGTTTTTTTTTTTTGTTTTTGTTTTTGGTTTTTTTTGTTTGGGTTTTTTTTTTTTTTTTTTTTGTTTTTGTTTTTGTTTTTGTTTGTTTGGGTTTTTTTGTTTGTTTTTTTTTTTGTGTTTTTTTTTTTTTTCTGAAAAAAATATAGTAGATGGAAACATTTTGACATTTTTAATTTCGAACTTTTTCAGAATTCTAAAATAACTCAAACCAGACTTGGGAAGGTTAAATAAATAAACAAACTTAGGCTATGTAATATATGCAAGTATATGTGCTAAGTGTGAAGACATTATTGTTACGAAAATAATATAAAGATACAATTTGGCTGTTACTGTACTTCAGTTTGTTCTGAAATTATCAGCTTTTTCTCAGCATGTTAGTACACACTTTTGAAAATTGTCTAGGCACTTAATATTCCATAAAAATCCAGTTCAGAACATGACATGAATGTCACTTTCAAATGTGAATGTGTGTAAATCATAGGGATCGTCATTCTCCATCTGTAATCCTAGTTACTGGGAATATTTCCATTCTGGAAGAATACTAAGAGAAGGATAAGAAAAGTTCAATTTTCAACCATAGGAAAAGATTAAAGTAGTTTATGGGCTGATTTCTGGATGTTCATGGATCTTGTAGTTTGTTTTTTTTTTTTTTTTTTTTAGCTCTTATGATGTATGGATATGAAAATTAGGTAATTTAAAACATTTATTGTTGCTGAATTTATAGGGTTTTTTGTTGTGGCTTTGGGGGTTTTTTGGTTTGTTTTGTTTTTTTTTTTTTTTTTTTTAGCTCTTATGATGTATGGATATGACAATTAGGTAATTTAAAACATTTATTGTTGCTGAATTTATAGGGTTTTTTGTTGTGGCTTTGGGGGATTTTTGGTTTGTTTTGTTTTTGTTTTTTTGGTTTTTTTTTTTTTAATAGAAATTAATCTTGTTTCAGATAAGACCAGCATTTCAAAATAGCACTTTCTGGTAACAAAACACTGTATTTTAGATTAGTACCATCCTGTTTGCTGTCAGCAGTTGTTATACATAGACTTTATGGCCAATACATAAATGTAGAGTAGAAAATTCCTGTCGCAGCACATGGCCCTAGTCCTTTTCATTTTAAAATTCTAAGAATATTTATTTTTTCACAAACAATGATTGACTCTTCTAACAGTACTATGCACATTAGTCAGATATCTCTTTTTTTTTCTCCTTAACAGAGATGATTAATGATTGTTAACATGCATATATTAACAGTACTAGCTTATGGCATTTTATATATCCATGTATGTAATGCCTGTGGCCTGGCTGATATTAGCCTCACCCACCAGCACTCCCAAAAATGTGAACAGACAATCAGCGTAGTGACAGAGTAATAATTGATCATACCAAAGAATAAGAAAGGTAACTCAGTAATTTTTTAAAATAAAAGATAGTAGACCTTTTTTATTTTTCAAATTGGTGTCAGCAGTAAACCAGGTTCGATTAAAAGATAACAACTTGTGTTGCTTTCTATTATTCACAGATTTTGAACGTCCACAATGTGTTGGTTGTGGTGTCCCGCTGGTATGGAGGTATTCTCTTGGGACCAGATCGTTTCAAGCATATAAACAATTGTGCAAGAAATGTACTTGTAGAGTACGACTATGTGCCATCAACGGTATGTTTGATCCCTCCAGAACGGAGGCATTTGCATGTGAACTTGTGTGACTTTCCTCTGTTAGATGAAGCCAGAAGAAAAGTAATACAACCTGTGTGAATGGATAAATATGTCCAAATTTTCATAAATCTCTGTGAACTGTGAATGCTGTTCATATTAAAAATAATTCTCATGGGTAACCTTGGGAGAATCTTGTGGTTTACAAGAATATTTTTTAAATTTTGCAATGCATCTTTTTCATTTCAGGAAGAATCATCTAGACAAGCTGGAAAGAGCAAAAAGATAAAGAAGGACAACAAAAAGAAAACAGAACACTAATTTATTTTTAGAAAACTTTAAAATACTATTTTGCACATATTTATACAAAAAAACCCTGGACTTTATTGCTTTATCTTTTATGGACATGTTGTATTCAGAAGAGAATTCAGTAAAGCCATAGATATATTTTCTCCTTGTTTTGTGATTTCTTCTGCTGTTCTGAAGTAGAGCTTAGACACAAATTTTCTGTTTTCTGTTTCTTACACATGTGAGCTCCTTGTTATGAGGACATGTGTAAGAAACAGAAATGTCCTGCAGCATCTGGAGCCATTGCTCCATCCCACCCCTTCCCACCAAACAACAGCTGACTTATTGATTTCTCTTCTTCTCCATTCCTGGAGTCAACTACATGTCTTGTATTAGTAATTGAATTCTGTAGTTTGTTGTACTGAGAGTGGGGCTAGAGTCATTCATACACCAGGTCACTTACAGAGTTTGAGATACTCTTTTGTGAAAGGAAAGCATGGGGCTGAGAGTGGTGTTTGGAGTGCCTGATCCTGCCTGTGCAGCTCCTGACCAGGTGCTAGACAGGGGCTGCTTGGTGACATATGGAAGACTGAACGTGGGCAGTGAGCTAAGAATAATGTGATGAAACTACTACAGAAGTTCTTTGAGGATTGTTCTGTGCTGGTTTGCACACCAGAAGCCTGTTGAAAAGATGAGAATTTCGTGTTGCATAATTAAAGGAACCAGTGAAATAGACCATAAAGTCAGTAAGCAAGATGAATCCCGTCCTTTAAAATGTCTGAAAACAGATCATCAGAATGGAAATGCATTTTTATTTTCACACAATTTCTTTCAAGAGAGAGCATGAAGTACTGTCTAACTGTCTTGTAGACATTTTTGGTTAGAGAAGTTACAGTCCCTTCCTATTTTTGTTTGCAACCATTTCCTAAGTTTAAACTTCCTTTATTCTGAGTGGTAGATACAACATGAGAAAGAAATTGCAAAAATGTCTGACAACAACTCTTAACTTTAAAAATTCTTCTGGTACGTTATTTTTAATAATGTACCAGAAGATATTTTAATTTTTATTTTTAATTGAAGCAGCAGTTTTAACCATTTTTGCCATCAAATACTGTAAGGTTTTTAAGACATCCTGCTCACTTGTGGAAGAGTTACGAATTTCATTACCTGGCAAAAGAAAAAAAGAAAAGAAGGATGACAGAATTAATTTATACCCAAAGTACAACTGCCTGTCCTAAAAATATGTCAACAAAAAACCATAACATTACCAGGAAAGGGTGGATAGTGGCTTTTATCTTTTTGGCCACTCTGTTTTAATATCTTTTTACTTTCCTGGTTTTGTTTTGTTATTCTGAAAATGAATCAGGAGTACAGCTGAACACAGATTAGCCATTACAGCACTAGAGTTTCCTACAAGGTAGTATCAGAATTTTTTTTTTCTTTGTGTCTCAAACCTAAATGAGCAGACTAAGATACCTGCTCTCTGATTGGGGTACTTCATTAGCTGAGTATCTTCAGAAGAGCTGCTTGGTCATTTCACTGTCAGTCATTTCCTCTAAATGTCCTGCATGCATCTGGAAATCTTCCATGCTCAAATATGAAAAGTCATGTTCTTAAAATCTTAACATTTAAAAGTGAAGATAATTGTCTTTCTTACAGCAGCATACCAATTCTGGACTGTTAGTAATTTCTTCATATTGCAGGTAATTCAGGGGGTTGGTTCTACTGTTTAATGTGGGGGAAAAAAGGAAGATAAAGATGGGACATTTACTTGTGGATCCTTTTGCTGTGTTCATCTTTGCTATGCGTTTATTGCTTAGCATGTCTATTTCAGTAAAAAATGGAAGCAGACACGAATTCTTACAGTTTAGTGGCTGCTTCAATATTTTTCTAGCTAGACTTGTTCTAGACTGATTTAATCCTTGTCAGAGCCACACACACAGAAAAATTCTGCTAAAAGCTCATGAAGTGGATCTTCTATCTAACTTCATATGTGTAGATGCCTTGCAACACACAGGCTTTCCAAGCATGGTTTGGAAGAATGGGGTATTTAAGATTTCAATAAATCAAATTAGATCTAAGATCCAATAAGAAATTTTGAGGGAGGGAGAGGGAATACAATTAGGCAGCTCTATACTCCTGGAAACTCCAAGATTTAAGCCATGTGGCAAGGTCAGTGGGCTCTCATGAGCAGTGAAACTGCTGAATTTTGTTTTGAGGCTTCAGTATGGCTAGCAGAAGAATGGCTACCGGTATTACTTAGTAATTGTGCCACATGGTGTTTTCTGCAGTACCTGGACACGAAATAAAGCTAAACCGGTGATGGACTTACATGCTGTGAAGATACTTGCATGGATAATAAAGGTTTGCATTTTTGTACTACTGCCATTCAAACATTCAGTAAAAGCACTTGACAAACACTAATGAATTTGTTCCCACAACAGAGGTGAAGACACGACAGCCAACGTTTTTCAAATTTAAGTATTTAAAATTGGACACCAAAGTGTTTTTAGAACCCATGATTAAAATGACTGATTGAATTTTTACAACTGTAGAATACTCACAGCTCTCTGCAAGTGGCTTCATTACTCATACAAAATATAAGCATTTGTGAAAGACGCACGATTTTTCGCACCAGTGTGGAAAGAAAAGCCTCATCCTGTTAAAGTTAATTGCCAAGCTCTCATTCTCAGTCAGGGAGTCTGTATTTAGTTCCTGGGTTCTGGGGAAACAGCATCTGGTGATGTGTTGCTGAAGCTGCTGCTAAGATTTTTGAAACTGATTTCCGTGAGAGTTTTGAACTGATCTTAGGGTTGGACCATTACAGGTTAACTGCTCTGGTAAGTAGCTGTGTGTATACTTATTTACACCGTATCAGTTTTCAGCCCTGGAGTGCACAAAAAGGAGAATAGCAACAATAAAGTCGACCATGATTTTCCTCAGCAAAAAGTATAAATAGAGAGGGACCAACAGCTTGCTGAATTGTAACAATGTCAGATAAACAAGGATGGAATTAAAAAGTAGTTTAAATTCTCGTTAGGATAGGTACACAGGTTGAAGAAAAAAAAAATATAGAAAAGTCATATATAGTCATATATGGTTTGCTAGCAAGTAAAACACATCAGGAAGGGAGGGAGGGAAGCAAGAGGGAACCTCAAATCAACCCTCCTGACCTCCACAGATAAGGATCATGTTGCTTAAAGAAGAACTTGCATTTCAAAATACGAGCTTGAAAAAACTCTGTATTTCTTAACCAGAACTTTGCTAATAAGATTCTTCAAGAGAATCTTAAGAAAACTAGATTCATCGAGTATCAAAAGCTTTTTATGTTTTCCCCTCCCGAGAAAATTTTTTTTGGATGCTTATTGGATTTTTGACCCATCCTATTTTAACTCCTTATGAATCTCAACCTTTTGGATAACTTTGCCAGACACAACTTCCTTCCCAGACTGACCTCACCTGGATACCCACCATGCTCAACAGCACCGCCGAAATTCCGCACGCGGCTGCGACGTGTAACGAGACTTGGCCCACGCAGTCGCCGAGCTCCGAGTTCTCCCTGGGTGTGTTGGTGCTGCTGGCTTTCCTCATGGTGTTGCTGTGTCTGCTGACCATCCTTGGAAACATGCTGGTGATCCTTGCTTTTGTTATGGACAGAAACCTCAGGCATCGGAGTAACTATTTCTTTCTGAATCTTGCTGTTTCTGACTTTGCAGTGGGTAAGTGAGAGCTGTGGAGCCATGTGCTAATTGTGTTGTAGGACTCTGAGGAGAAGCACTGGTGTTTATTGTCCGTGTGTTTTCTTCTGAGAGAACTATTTCCCAGCTGTGTAGACGGGGCAAGGATGTGGAATGGTGGAAGATGCATGAAGTGTTTTAGCAGCCTATTATTTGTCAGAAAATAAAGGTTGCTTTGTTAGGTAAGCAGGTAATGTTTAATGTTTCAAGATAAAATACTAGTCTGGGAATTTTATGGACTAACAAAGAATGGGAGCTGTTTGTGAAGAGTTTTGGCTGAAATTTAGATAGTCTAATCAAATACAGCCTATATTGTCTGACAGCTCTTGCATGCATGGTCAATATCTTGTCTTTCAATCTGCTATCACACAACACAGATATCACCTCAGGTTTGTGACTAAATAGAGACAAATGCTATTTTTAAGCATTTTGCTGTATATGGTCTATATAGAGTAATACCTTAGGAATATGTGTTTGTGTAGGCAAATAAAAAATTACAAGTAAAGCAATTTCTAAAAAATTTGATGCTACATGTATATTTATACATAGGGACACAGTTTTGAAACTTGTACTGAGAAAAAGTACAATTAAAACAGGAGTGTGATGTTCAGTTGGAGACTGGAGTATTGCAATAGTCTGTGAAGTGTTGCGTGTCTTTGCTAAAAGCCTTGGTTAAATTACTGAGTGTGTAGAAGGATGGTTTAAAATAGTTGTGGTCATTCAACCAAATCTGTATTCTGACTTGCATATCACAACAATGTTTTTTAAGTATCCATTTAAGAAGTATACTAAATGGAGAGAAGAAACTTAATTTTTTTTGCCAGTGCCAGAAGTTCTTTCAGAGGCACAACTTCTAACAGTCCTATCCTTGTGATGTCCATATCTCCTTGTATAATGTTTTGATATCTCCCTGCATATGCTTGATGTCTTCTTCCAGCCTATCTCTCCCTTGATGTGATGCAGAGCTCTTGCTGCCTGCTCTCCAGTTACAGTACACTGGAAAAAAACAGAGCAGTGAGCATAAAACCAGTGGACAAACTGGTGTTCTCTCATCTGACTCACCATCTCGCATCATACTGAACAAACACCAGCGTCTAGCTGAGAAATACAAAGTAAATAACATTCTCTGCCAAAGAAGGAAGTACAGCTTACCTGGCATTACCTACTTTCCATAATTTTTTTGGGTGATATTATGTTTAACTGAATGTCTAGTTTTTAATTACAAATTCTGTTAAAAGCTTTGCCTTTGTCTTAGTTTGACTTTAGAGTCAAACTGATTTGTATTTTTGTAGCTATATAATTTAGATTCAGGGTATGCCTAAATTATCCTTACTTTCTTCTTGATCTAAATTGCTAAAAGCTTTCAGAATCATTTGCTTATTCTTTTAAAGTATCTAATCTAGTTGCTTTTGACATTCTGCAATT